TAAGCATCTAGATAACACAAGCTATGCCCTTGCTTTGTAATATACTGACCCTACTAGGGGGTAGGGTTCCTGATCATGCATTGTATTGTGCATTTGTCCTAGGCATTAGAAGAGTACTGTATCCAGATGAACATGACACGCTGCCAGGAATCCCGTAAAGCCACGCAAGGCGTGTATCCTGAAGGGCACCCTCCCCAACCGCAAGCTCTTCAGCCTAAACCACTGATCCCAGACCCTCCGCCCCCATTTATAGTCCCCCTTAAGTAGATAGAATATGGCTTTGGGTATATTTTCAGAAGATCCCCATCTACCCCATTTTCTCTCTGCTTAAGGGGGACGATAATCCCGAACCGAATCAAGACCCTAAACCCTATAAACCCTAAACCCCTAAACCTTAGACCCTAAGCCACCCCTGCTCACCACCAATCTCAGGTCTTCACAGGGAAGTGGTCGCTGAGCGCATGGCCATGCGAGCGCCTGTGAGGAACTTGCAGAATCTTTTCTATGGGTTGTGATAGGCAGGTTTCCCTAGGGGCACGAAGTTTACAACTGGTATATGTATACACTTTGCTTCCCTCCATAGAGGAAAACACAAAAAACAAATAAGGATCCCAAAGTGTATGAGTATGTATGCATTGGATCCATAGGGGTTGTTTTGTGTTGGGATGCCGGGATGGCTTCACTTGCCTAGCGTGCTCCAGAGTCTTGATCAGTCAGCGCTTGCGACTGAGTTGTACACATTTGCTGTCGCTGCTCGGGCCTCCAGGGAAACAGGTATACCTGTACTTGAACCCCAAAGGTATGTAGAATAATTGCCTTTTGGGCTATTTTTAGTGGGTTTGGGGCTATTATTTTACCTAAATCTGGGGGCTTAGGTACACATTGTCACTGGTTGCATGATGGCCGTCCGTCTTGCATGCCAAGCCCACCAGGGCTTTATGCCGCTTGCAAGGCGGCGCGCTGTGTGGCCTTTTCTGAAGATGCGTTTGTGTCCCGGGTGCCCAGTCACGGGAAGAAGCCCTTGCGGAGGCGTGAGTTGCTTGACACAACCCTGGTCAGAGATCTCCATGACAAAGCTTAAGCTGACGAGGATGCAGTTGGCACGTGTGAGAGCAGGCTGGCTCATCCCAGCTATGTCACTTGGCGTCAGGCAACACAGGTTGCAGAGGTTTGTGAGCGCTGTGTGTGGGCGGCGCTCAGGGCATCTCCGCTTGCCAATGCTGCTGTGTGAATAGCCCCACACGTGGCCTGACAGCTGCCTCTAGCCATCTTCGGACGCAGGTTGTGGCAGCGACAGATGATGTTTATGTAATGCTGTGTGTTGGGATGCCGATGGCTTCAATTGCGGTTTTAGTCAAGTCGAACCAATAGTCTTTTCCTGTGAGTTTCCTAATTGCTCATGGTGACTTGCCAAGCCACACTACCTGCACCCCAAAGGTATGTAGAGTAGTAGCCTTTTGGGCTGTGTTTAGGGATTTTTTGCTATTGTTTTACCTACTCTTGGGGTCCAGGTATTGGGTTTCAGGGATGACCCGAAAAACCTTAAAGCCTTAATGGGCATCCAATCCGTCACCTTCATGGCACTAAAGGAGAAGCGGGAGGTTGGATCCCTCCAATTATCCTTGTGCAACTCCTTAAATGGTTTGGGGTTTAGGTGTAGGGTTTAGGGTATGATAGCTATACAGTCGTTTAGCCACCCCCCTCTAGCACATGTTGACGCTTTCCATTCGGATCTGCGTGGGAGAAAATCATGTTGAAGGGGAAGCAGGTTTAGAGCTTAGAGTGCGGGAATCCCATTTTCTCAACGGAAGGTACCCAGACTCCTTTACCCTACCCTTGCTTTAGGATACCTAACTCATGTCTAGTATTCTTCTACACACAGAAGTAGGAACATGAAATAGGGGTAGAGTATAGAGGTCTAGGTATATAGTTTAGGAGTTTAGGTGTTGATTGCGAAGCTGCTGGGGGGTGACCCATTCCAAAACATAACCCATTGCTCTTTTCAAGAGCTTCCTCTTCTCAAGGTTAGAAAGCAAGCATCTTCCTCCCTTCTACTGATCGAGAACCAAGTTCAGCCAACGTGGCACCAGCCCAAGCACAGGGCAACCGAAACTCGAACCTCCATCCTGCAGCCAGCATCTTGAGACCTTCAAGCTGTCCTATATAACAATATATACCTTGTTATAATATAGTAGTTTCCATTTTCTTTTCCATTATCCCTATATAACCCCTATATAGCCCCTATAGAATCCCATTGTCGGCTTACAAGGGGTAGCTTCAGATCTTGTAGATGTCCTGCCGCTCCACTCGCAGCACAGCATCCTCCCCAACTGCACCACATCCGCGGGACACACCTGAAGCTCTTTGGGGACGTTCTTGCAGAGAAACTGTTGTCTCACCAACGCCTTTTTTATAGACAGGGCACTAGACAGCGGGGCTGACACCACGGAGGCGCAGACTCTACTGGGCAGAACACTGCGCTGAAATGGCCTTGCACTGGGTCAATGACACACATCCCGTATCCCTAAGCTCCCGTGTGCTTTTGCTTGCACCTTCACCAGTGGTGCTCGACCGGCCATTTTGGAGCAAGCTGCCGACGTGCCAGCCCCCCGGTATTGGCCAGTACATAATCTAATCACCGTAGCCCACGAAAACCAGCACAAAAAGAGCTGCTACTCAAGCCATGTCAATTTTTCCAGGGGGCTGCAAACGAATCACATGCGAATGGCACCTGGCCTTGAGCAGGGTTGCCACATGGGAAATTGCCACAAGCCTGAGCCGACGTGTGCAGACATTCCAGCATAGCGGGATCCTGCAGGACCTGCAGTGTGGGGAGGCAATCATCAACCTGGACCTAGACCCTTCGTGAGCCTAGGTACATGCGTAATCCAAGATGCACTTCTAATATGATCCCTGTACAACCTCCCTGTAGGGTGAACAGCATGTTTCCTTTCGTAATGTCTTGTGCTCCTTGCTGAAGCTCCTGGCACGAGCCCATGGGTAGCTTCCCAAACCCGGCCTAGTCATGTTTGACAACAAACCCCCCATGTTTGTGTCGAACTGTGAAAGCCTCAATCTCGAACCCCGAAACCATTCAAAACCTTGGGCCCACAAGAAGGGTTATGATAGGCAGTACTGTCTTACTCTGAGAGGTACTCTATGGCATGCTTGTTGCTTTTGCAATTGTTCGCGAGACGGAACCCATCATTTTCAACAATAAACCCTGAAACTCGAAGACCAAGCATTGTATCCGACACCATCAAACCCTTCCCCAAACCCAAGACCCGGAGCCTAAAGTGCAGTCCCTGAATCTTAGACCCTAATCCCTCAAATCTTACTCCAACAAGTCCTTAAATCTTAAACTACAAGCCTAGGCCCAGAGAATGGCTGAGAGGGAGCAGCGGCGCCAGATCCCGATCAACCAGCCCCCTGGCAGCAACGGTGTGGGTACGAGATCATTTTTGTTTCTGGCTTTCAACCGAGGGATCCAAATAGCCGAATCTGGTAATATCTACAGACTTCACGTTCCAAGATTTTCGGAAATGTTGATTTCCAGTTGCCTGGAGGGGCAGGGGGATTTAGTAAGTGGGTTCATGTAGAGCCTAACTGGGATAATTCTACGTCTTATGTTTATGCTTACAAGGTCCCCTGACCCTCCAAGTGGGGTTCACCCTTAGGGCTTGGGGTGATAGAGGGCGCAGGGTTGAGGACATGGAGCAAGCATCAAGGCGTAAGATTTCCTGCGAGAATTTGGCATAACTTGAAGGACTTAGCCATCAGGGTTAGGGGTGTGGAAATCAGAGTTCATAACGATTATGAACGGAATTGCGGGATGGGCGGTCTCCTGGAGCTCTCTCCAGGGGCTGGGAGCATGTGGGATTGTCCATTCACCCTGCAAGTTCAGCCATACTCCCCTCGAATGGTTGATATCCGGGCTTCCGAAAACAGGAGGAGCCCAATATAGGCCCCAAATAGTACGATCCTTGTTATAGATACCCCCCGAAAGGATCTCTGATTCACTCCCTGTGCTGGGCAATTCATCAAGTAATAGTATTAAACTTTAGTCCCTAGACCCTAGATCTCAACCGTACGGCTTGGTAGCAGGAGGTTGCCTAATCTTCTACCCTGGCAGCTCTCAAGGGGTCAAAGCTGGCTCAAGATCTCATCGGCTGAAACGCTTACGGCATCTAGGGGTACTTGGAGGGGTTTAGGTTTGAGGGTGTAGGGTTGGTTGGTTTACGGTGAGGATGGTTTGTAAGTCTACACATAACCCCGATCAGTTTTCTGAGAGCCTCAGCTCAACCTACACAGTCGATTTAAAAGCCAGCGGCCTTGGAGCCCTGAACCCGAGTTTCCATTTTCTTTTCCATTATCCCCAGTATAACCCCAACTTAACCCCAATATAACCCCAAGTTAACCCCAACATATCCCCAATATAACCCCAACACATCCCCAATTTAACCCCAATTTATCCCCAATATATCCCCGATATACGGAAGCCGAGGAATCCTCGAATCGCAGGCGTCAAGATCAGCAGACTCATCGAGAAGCTCGGACGGCATCTGTAAATGGAAGTGAAAAAGGACAAGCTACTAGCGTGAAACTAGCTTTTGATGATATGTGAAAGTTGCAAAAGATCTAGTACCAGAACTCCAAAGGTATGTAGAATGAATGCCTTTCGGGCTATGTTTTTGAGTTTGGGGCTTTTGTTTTACCTACTTTGGGTTCAGGTAGTTCCTATCAACCATCAAGTAGTGCGGCTTCGCGAGGATCCTGTTGGGAGGTGGTCCACTGCCTCACTCCTTTCCGGATGCACTACGCCTGCTTGGAGGGTCAGGGGGACTTAGTAAGTAGGCTATGAATAAGGATAATTAGGCTTACCATTTGGGTTATAGGGGTTCTTAACCTACTTACTAAGTCCCCCTGACCCCCCAAGTGTGCCCTAAACCTTAAACCTCCTGTTACAGAACGCCTGCGTTCCGTGACAATTCCTTTGAACAATGGCGGGGTGGGGTGTGTTGTACTAGCTGGAACAGATTCCTGTAAATTACGGCATGGCACCGATGTCAAGACCCTAAGAGAAACTGCGGATCCTAAAATTAGGAGAACCTTTTGGTGGTCCCATCCATAAGGTCTATAGCATATTGGGGTGTCTATATTGGGGTCCCCTTATTCTGGGAAACTATCCCCATGCTTGGAGGCTCCCCAGTTAGCAGAATTCGCTTTTGTTGTTCCATGCATTCTACGCAAGAGCTTTTTGTATTTGTTGTGGTTCTTCGGTAAGGGATTATAGTATACTGCCCGAAGAGGACCCCCTAAACCCTCAACCCTAAACCCTAGACCTGTGAAGGTTCTGGGTAGAGGGCATCATAACAAAGACCATGTCTCCTTGTGCTTTTCTGGGACGCAATCCCAACCCTAAACCCTAAACCCTAAACTTTAAACCCTAAACCCTAAACTTTAAACCCTAAACCTTAAACCACTAAATCCAACCATTTCGTTAATTTTCAGTAGGTCCCGGACTTGCTCAATTTCTTTTTTGGGCGGTAAGGTTTAGGGTCAAGGATCCAAGATCATTTGGTAGCGAGATACTATGGTTATATTTGATCCGCAGATTGAGTGAGCAATTTCCAGAACCTAGGCGCATCAAAAGGTAGACCAACCGCATGAATCGCGCAGATGCATTGAATTAGCATCTCAAAAATACACCGCTTCCTATTAGAGACAATTCTGGGGACCCCCAGTAAGCGGGGGGACGCCTAATTTGTGAAAGCTCCAAATAACATCTTTCAGTGTCGCTGTCAAAGCGCATTCATCCACACGAGTTTGGCTGTTAGAGCTAACCCTCGGGAGCCAAGTATACAAGTAATACCTACGTTGGGCCCGAACGTCTGCAAATATTACCTGGGCTGAGCTATTTGGATCATTGGGTTAGGGAAAGGGCATCAAGCCCCGAAGTCAGCACAATGTAACAGTTTTTAGAGTAGTGCTGACACATGGAAAAAGTAAGAACCATAATCACGACAATGTACATGAACAGCTGTCATTTTCTGCAACTTCATTGCAAAAGCTTTCTTAGGACATACCAGCAAGAATTCCGCCCAATCAAAAAGATGCGGAGAAAGATGTAATCAACGATCTTATTTGGAAGTTTCTGCAAATCAAGTGCGGTCAGCTCTGTGCATTTGCCCACTACCCCAAAACCCCAAACCCTAAACCCTAAACCCAAAATCCCAAACCCTAATTCCCCAAAGCATCCAAGGAGCTTCCTTACCACAAAGCCGGTTACCATCAACAACAACATCTCCCCAAAGCATCCCCTGGTCTTCATGCACCAGGCCTACTGGGGGTTAGTCAGGAATATGGTTTTAAGGGTTTAAGGGTTTAGGGCTTAGGGTTTAGGGGGTATAGGATTTAGGGTTTAGGGGTATAGGGTACTGGGTGTTAGTCAGGAATATGGTTTTAAGGGTTTAAGGGTTTAGGGCTTAGGGTTTAGGGGTATAAGGTTTAACGGTTTAGGGCTCCCCTGGTCTTCATGCACAATAGAGTCCCAATCTGTGAAGGTTGCGGTTAGGAGAGTTCATAACCTCTACATCAGTACCTATACAGTCCCTACATATTGCAGGCCCTAAGCCCTAAACCCTAAACCAAGGAACACGTGATCGAGCTTTAGGAGGTTCAGACAATTTAGCAGCTTAAGCTTCACGGGTATTGCGTTTCGAGGGGTGCATCCAAATACTGGAAAGGCTGTGCTGGAAATCAGAAGCTTATTTTACTTGCTTTTTGTTTGCCCCGCGTGATGCGTGGGGGTTCTCATTTCCAGGCATATTCTTTTTGAGGTATCTGAACGGGATGCCGCTTCCACATGTAATCGGGTATATATACTGTATATATATATATATGTATATTTCAGATGTTGATTTGTTAGTATAGGCTATATTGGAGGATTGGGGGTCCCACCAGGGTGCATGTACTGCGTACAGTTGGTTTATGGGGACTGCAGGATGGGAGGCCCCATATTTGGGGCCCACACTTTGAAGCACAGTTCAAGATGTTTTAGGGTTAAGGGTTTAGGGTCAAACCCTAAACGCCTGAACACTTAGGGTTTGAGTTCAGGGTCCTGGCCTAGAGCATAGTTAGGACCTAAACCCCAAATTTTAGGTAAGGTAATAGCCCCAAACCATTTAGAAATAGCCCAAAAGGCATTTATTCTACATACCTTGGGTTCAGGGACTGTTTTTTGGCTCTGACACTAAAGTCCTATCAGACAAGACCAAATTTCATGCTTCTTTCAAGATTTGATGCAAGACCGCAACCCTAAGCGTCTGGAAGTTCAATCCTAGATAGCTTAGTACTACCGGTACTGCTGGCTAAAGCCTAACTTAAAAGATTGCTTACACCAGTTTAAACTACCCCATGCAAACATAAAACCCTTATCAACCCTAAAACCTTAAATCCTAACCCCTAAAACC